GAGTGAGTGTCTTTTCTTCTGCAGCTGGCCCAGGAAGGCAGGGGGCGGGGTGGGGGGCACGACCAGGCGGGGTGGGGGGGGTGTCTCTCACAGGGTCACACATTGTGCTCTTGCGCCCCCTGGTGTCCCATTCGGGAATGAGCGGCGTGGGGCTCGGACCTACCCAGGCTCCAGGCTCACCTTTCTCTTGGAGTGACCCCGGCAGTCGGGACCACCGCCGCCCATAAGGCTGTGCACTTCAGCCCTGTCCTCGATATCTGACGGGCGGTGGGGACCAGTCCTGGGGACGGGGGTGCACAAGGGACTCCAGTTCATGGGCAGCCGGGGGGCTGGGGGGGCCGAGGCGGGCTCGGGAGTACAGCGCCGGGTTCCCAGAAGTAGCAGTGGAGGACAGGCCCGGGAGGGCTTCCCTGGAAGGGAAGATGGGGAACAGGCACAGTGGTCAAAGAGTGGGGTCGGGGGGGGACTGGGATCTAGTCCAGCTTATGTCCCTGGGCAAGTTCCTGCCCGTCTCTGGGACTTGGTTTCCTAGTCTGTACAATGAATAAGAAACTCTGATTGTTCAAAACATCTGGGACACTGCAGATGGGATCCTTCCTCCCTTGGCTCCAGGCATCTGGAGATTTGCGGTCCCTCTTTCCAAGACGCTGGCAGCTACCAAGGAAGCAGGAGAAAAGCAGCTCTGTGTCTGCCCTTGCTGAGGGGATAGGCCGGGGGCTTCCCTAAACCCACCCCTCACTCTCATGAGGACATCACCTTCAATCCCTCAATCCCCTTCATCCCATAGTCAACTTTAATGGGCTCCTGGCAGTGCCTAGCACAAGTCATGGCCACTTTCCTGCTCTCTCATCTCTGCAGCCCTTCTGGAAATCGCTCCTCTCTGCAGTCAGACTGGTTCCGTCACCCACCTGTGGGGGCTGCGGCGCAGGCCAGCACACATGCAGGCCAGGAGGCAGAGGAGGCCCAGGCAGACGCCCACGATGATGCCCGTGACCGAGTGCACGTCCAGAGAGTCTGGTGGGAGAGAGGGAGGGAGCAGAACAGATCAGGGACAGAAGAAGACCCAAGGTTCATAGATCAGGACTTCCCGAGGCTTTCTCCGGAGACCACTAGCCTGAGTCTCACCCTCTGGACACATGAAATCTGATGCAAGGACAGGAGGGCCCCACAGGCTCAGAGGGACCACCACAACCTCTCTCTCCAACTGTCCCTGCCATGGACATCCAGAATTTGTGGCTCCTCCCCAGCAACCTGGCCTTTCAGGGAAACACACCTCCTGCTTGCCCAGCAGGGCTGGTTTCACAGGTGTGCAACATGTCCAGTAACCCAGGGCCCACGCTTAGAAGGGCTCTGCGCTTGGGTTTATGCTCTGCCGTCACTATCTTGAAATTCTTCCTCATTAAATAAGGAGATGCTACATTTTCATTTCACACCGGGTCCTGCAAATTACAAAGCCAGTCCCGCTGCCCAACACCTCCACCACATAAAGCTCACCACCTGTCCAAGCCAGTCTTCCAATCAAAGCGATCTCCCAAAGAAACCAAGCCAGTCTCCCACAAATCTGACCTCTCTACTGAACCATTGCCGGGCCACACTCATGGCCTCTTCACGTGTGTCCTTTCCACACCTAAGTAGGAGGGCAGCTGTCCAAAACAGTGAAAGTGTAGTCATGCCCTGAGGCAGGGCTTTGGAAGAGATGACTTTAGGGTTAGAAGTCAACTCCAGAAGCCTCTGGAGACCTTGAGCTGCCCCAGGATGGACCCTCCTCCTTCCTCCCTTCCTGTCTCTTACCTGAGAGCTTTTCCTGGAGAGTGATCACATCCTGCAGGCCAGAGAAGGGCCCGGGCCCCACCTCTGTGCGCGCCCCCATCTTGAAGAAGTACCTAGTGTCGCTCTCGAGGCCGTGTACCTCAGCACTGAAGATGTTCCCTGGGGGCAGAGGGAGGCAGGGAGAGCAGAGTTGGTGAACTGGGTCGGGGTGCGAGGCAGGGATGCGCTGGGAAGCAGCACTGAAAAGATCTGCTTCTCCCACTCAGGCAGTGGCTTCTGCCTGCTCCGAACAAACGCAGCCACTGGGGAGGCTGGTAAGTGGGGAGAGGGTGGGGAAGCTCTTGCTCAGATGCCCTGGGGTGGGAGCCGTCACCCTCTGTGGTGAGCAGGGTCCACTGGTGCTCGGGCTGGGTGTGGTTGCTGCTGTAGAGAATCAGATACTCCACGATCTCGCCGTTGGGCTCCGTGGGGGGGCACCAGTGCAGCCGAACGGTGGACGGTGTCAGGGGGCTCAGGCGCAGGTCAGATGGGGGCGTCGAGGGCCCTGGGGTACAGGGAAGGAGATGGGGAGAGGCAGGGTCACTGAGAGCCCAGCTCGGGGGGGCAGCTGGGAGCCAGGGCATGAGGGCATGGCCTCCCTCCTTCCTCCTGTACTGGAACAAGCCACAAAGCAAAGTGAGGTCTGGCCTCTCATTGGGGAATTCCTGGAAAACAGTTCACCACCCTTCTATCCTCTCAGAAGCAGAGCTCCGCCAACTTCCATACCCAAATACCTCCAAGGATTGAAGACACTGTCTGATACTCTAAAGGCCCTGGGGGTAGAGCTCAAAAGTTTTTGGAAAGCTTACATTTTAGTTTGAACTCTCACACTAAGTTTGCCATCTATTCGATGGTGAAGTTTAATATAAAAAGTATTTGAAATTATTTGTCATTTAAGGTTCCTGACTCCCCTTGCCACCCCAAATCTTCAAGTAAAGTTGGTTGATGCCCTGTGTAGCCTCTGTCTATGCCTGCCCCTGGCACAGGTCCTCTATGGACCTGGGAACCCCAATGTGAGAAGTACCACCTTGGAAGACTTTGTGTTTTGTTTTTAGAGAAGTTGATCCTCACGGGGCAGGGGTGAATGAGGAAGGATGAGAAGCAGGGACATAAGGTGACTGGGGAGTTGGGAAGGGACAGAGATTTGGGGGTTCAGGTTTTTGAGGCCAACCAAGGGCGGGATGGGGACCCAGGGCTCTGAGGCATCTCAGAGCCACAGCATCATGGGCTGCCAGAACCCTCCTTTAGATCTTAAGTTATTAGGTCTAGGAGCAAATGGTTAGGACCAGCATAGGACTGGCCTACATAAATGCAAATCAAATGACAGACACTTATGGGGTTCTTGGGGGCGTTTCAGAAGAGGACTGCTGGGGCAAGTAGGAGTTTGGTGAAAGATGGACTGGTGGCCAGAGGGCTGAGGGCCACTTACGGTCAGGCAGGGTGGAGCGCTCCACCACAGAGCCAAAAGGCCCATCCATGTCCACGCCGTGGGACTGAACTGCAAACTCGTATTTGGTGAATGGCTTCAGCCCGCCGATGAGAATGTCTTCTCCAGAACTGCCGAGGCGAGAAACACGACAAGTACTCTCAGGGACACCCTTCTAGCAAGGCAGGTCCCTCCAAATCTACTCTCCTACCCCAGACCCACCCCAGCCCCTACGCTGGACAGGAAATCTGCTCCCTGGCATGGGGGCCACTAACAGCATCCAGAGAACCTGCAGAGAGGCCTGGATGTACGCTGTTCTCAGGATATCAGGCGCCATGTCCAAGCCCCAAGCCAGGCCTGCTCTTCAGAGAAACATTCCTGGATTAATCCATGTCATTTCCCACCCAGGGAACTACCTCTGATACATCTTTTCCTTGACTTAATTTTACTTTAGCTGCAACTGTATATATCCATTGCTTTTTTATGCTGTTTCCTCTGCCAACCTAACAGCTCCCCAGGTCAGGGTCTTCGTCTCCCCATCCAACTGGGGGCCTCTCAGGACAGCAGCTGGACAGCTTTTCTCTGTCTTCTGAGGTTGAGGAAATAGGTCTGTGCTGCCTCACATTTCCTAGGGTCGAGTACAAGGCTCTCCTGTGAGGGGATAGGATTGGACAGACTCCCCCTTTCCACCTGTCACCATCAGGTCATCAGACCCTCAACGTGCCTCTAGTTGAACACGTGAGTCATGAAATGTCCCTAAACCCCCAGGACCTTCTTCCCCATCGCCTGCTATTCCTCCCTCTTCACAGCATTAGTCCCTCCTCCCACCTGGTGTAATAGGTGACCAGGGAGGCATTCCTGAGCCCCCAGGGGCTGAAGCGCACAGTGTAGTTGACAATCTTGACCGTGGTGAAGTCTGGCTTTTTCCACCGAAGCCAAATGGACGTGGAGCTGTTTGATTCCGCATGGACGTGGGCCGGAGGCAAGGGTGGCCCCCTCTGGATGGGCAGGTCTGGAGGGTGAATATTAGAGCGTGGGGAAGGGAGGGAGGATGCTCATCCCTAAGCAGGTACAGTGGTTTGCGGTTCCCAAGTTTCTTTTACCCTTTCTCTTTTGATCCTGTGAATTGGGTGGCATCATTCCCATTTCACAGATGAGGAAACTGAGGGCCCTGAGAATTTAAGTGATTTTTGCCAAGGTCATACAGACAGCAGACTGTGGAACACTAGTCTGTAAGACTGTAACAGAGTGAGACAGCAAACCATGGTAATTATGAGCATGGATTTGGGAGCCAAGCTGCCCTGGGTTCAAATTCCAACTCTCCCACTTACTGTGTGACCATGGAGAAGTTAATTAACCTTTCTGTGCCTCCATTCCCTATTCTGTCAGCGGGGCTGATAATAGTGCCTATACCTCATAACGGTTGTTATGAGGATTAAGTTAGTAAATATTTGTGAAGTGTGTAGAAAAGTGTTATGGCCTAAACGTTTGTGTCCCCCAGAGCTCATATATCGGAAATCTGAACATATGGTGGAGCCTTCATGCATCAGATCAGTGCCTGTCTTAGCCTGTTCCAGCTACTACAACAAAGACCCATAGATTGGATGGCTTAGAAAGAACAGCAATTTATTTCTCACGGTTCTGGAGGCCGGACTCTGAGATCAAGGTGCCAGCATGGTCAAGTGCTGGTGAAGGCCCTCTTCTGGGTTACAGACTGCCAACTTCTCATTGCATCTTCAGAGCAGAAAGGTGAAGCAAGCTCTCTTGTGACTCTTACCAGGGAGCTAATCCCATTCATGAGGGCTCCACCCTCATGACATCATCTAATCCTGATTATCTCTTAATATATCACATTGGCAGGTAGGGTTTCAACACATGAATTCTGGGGGGACACAGATTTGCAGCCCATAACAGTGCCCCTTATGAAAGGAGACTGCTGAGAACTCTCCAGCCCTCTCGGCCATGTGAGGACCCAGTGAGAAGACGGCCTATGGCCCATGAACCAGGAAGCTGGTCCTCACCAGACACTGACTCTGCCAGCGCCTTGATCCCGGACTTCTCAGCCTCCAGAACTGTGAGAAATAAATGCTGGTTGTTTAAGTCACCCCATCTGTGGTGTTTTGTCAGAGCAGCCCAAACCTAGACCCTGAGCCTCAGTTTCCTGGTGGGCCACATTCCCCTCCCTGCCTAGAGCAGAGGGATAATCTGATGGACAGTGTGATGTGGGTGGATGCACTGTTTAAAGATCAAACTTGGGTTCAGAAGTCACTGATGAACCATGGGGTTTCTCTCTGTTCAAACTTTCCAAAGTAGCCCAGCTCATGGATAATGAAAACTCTCTAGCAGACCTAAAAGAGGCACAAACTGGAGCTTTTCTGCGACAGAGGCTGTCTGGACCTGGAAGAGCCTAGCAGAGTGGCTTGGGGCAGGGAGGAGGGAGAGGGAGGTGGGGGGTTGCCTGGTGAGTACAGTTTGTAGCCAGAGGCTGAAGCTTCCAGATGGCCTGCCCACCAGGGCTGGCCCAGAGGAAAGGGGAAGGCAGCCATGCACAGACCCCTCGGCAGAGCCCTCCTCCCCGCTTCCCCAGCCCCCTCACCTGGCGTGGGAGCCTTCTCTGTCTTGCCCTTCCACACTGCCGCATAGCCGTCCTCATGTTTGTTGAATGCCACCAGCTTCACCTCGTACAGCCGGCCAGGGACTGGAGAAGGTTATGAGGGTGTCACTCACTGGCTAGAGGAGCCTCTGAGGTCATTCTCTCATCCCCAGAGAGAGTCCATCTCCAACCACCAGCCCAGCTTGTCCAGTCCCCGACTAAAGCTATGTCCATCTCATTCCCTACCCCCCGGCCCTCCTCACCTAGCTGGGTCAGCTCATACTGTTTCACTTTCTTCTTGAGCCGGACAGGCCCCACATCCCAAGCCTGGTCTCCACGGCCCCCTGGAGGGCTCTCACCATTGGCCTCCTCCTCCTCTGTCCCCACCTCCCGCCAGTATAGCTTGTAGCCAGAGATCTGGGCGGGGTGAGGGGGCGGCTGCCACGACACGACCAGGGACTCCATCCTTGCCCGTACCTTCAGCTCTGCAGGGGCAAAAGGGACTGGAGGCAGAGGAGCAGGAGGGGAGGAGGGGTATGAGAATGGGGAGAGAGGAGGAGAGGCCAGGGATGGGAGAGGGGGAAGGGGCAGGTGGAAGCAAAAAAGCAGGAAGACAGCATTGAGTGAGAGCCTTGTCAGCCTTCTTCCAAAGCATCACCACTCAGCCAGCAGCCTAAGCGCCAGGTTCAGTCTGGAGGAGAACTCACTATTCCGCCAGCCCAGAGTGCTGGGAAAGCAGGAGTGTCTCCAGGGCATTTGCAAGGAGGTTAGCAAGGAGCACCTCTGGGGCAGGGCTGACACAGAGCAGGGCTCTAGAATTCTTCTGAAGGAACGACTGCATAGATATTGGTTTGGAAGGGGATCATAGGGTTTGCTGAAGCTGGGAAGGAGGGATGGAGCCATTGAAGTGGGGAGCCCAACTTGGAGCCTAAGAGAGGGGTGGCTTACTACAGCTCAGATGCTATTCTAAGCACTTTGTACCATGTATTGTAACTTGACTCTCACAGCCCTATAAAAGAATGAAATACTATTACCCCTATTTAAGAAAACTGAGGCTCAGAGAAGTTAAGTAACTTGTTCAAGGTCACACAGATAGTATATGCTATGGGTCTGGCTGCATTTAATCCCTCTCAACCCAACCCACAACAATCACAATCTTGGAAGCAGTTACTATTTAGCAAGTTCTGACTGTACTAAACACTCTGTCTACAATACATTCATTAATCCTCACGCCACGCCTGACAGTAAATGAAGACTTAGAGTTGTGAATGGTTTGTCCAAGGTCTCACAGCAGACGGAAGGGACACATGAGCCCAGGGGTGTCTGCAAAGGCCAGCTCTTTGCCACTTTACCCCCATCCTCCCCTGCCCATCAAGCAGGGGGAGCCAGGGAAGGTCTCTGATGGAGGGAGCGATTGGGTTTGGGTGCCAAGCGCACACTGACACCCGTACAGTCACGCACATCGCCCCCCCCGCCCCCGTCCCCTCTGATCCCGTACCGTGGCTCTGGTTATGCATACTGGGCGTCCTGTGCTGCATCCACTGGGAGGGGGCCCCATAGCCGGCCCCCGTGCCAGCCGAAATCCGCACTTGATACACCTTGTTGGGCTGAAGTGAGTTCAGTGTAAAGTGTGTCTCGTTCCCCGGAACCTCGGTGGAGAACATCTGATCTGCCAGGACAGAAAAGACTGGCTGCTGGGTGGCCACCTAAGGACCACGAGTCCTAAACTCCTCTCCACCGACCCTTCCACCTCGGATCCTGAGTCCTCAGGGCCCATCGGAATCCGAGGTTTTCTCAGCGCTGACCCCTCAGTGCCAGGATGGACTCCCCGGCTCCAGGGCTGGCTCAGGTGGGGAGAATCACAGCAGGCACTCCCCACGTCCCCAGGAGCTGTCAATGACCCCCACCCACACACACACACCAGGGTGCAGGCACAAGGGGTTGGCTGTGAAGACCATCAAGCACCGCCCACCTTCCAGAGCCCTGAAGACCACCCAAGGATGCTGTCTCACCCTTCCCCCCTTCCCCACCCTCCCCCTGGCCCCCAGCCTCTTGCCTTCTGATTCTTTATGCCTTTCACACCCCCACCCCTAGACTCCCGACACCTGCCCTAACACCCCCCAACCAATGCCTCATTTCCCCCAGTCCCACAAGCACACCCTCCACCTCCCTATCGCTCATCTGCTTTTTCAGCTGGAAGGGACCCCAGAGATTACCTGGGTTACCTGCCTGACTTCACAGATAAGGAAACTGAGGCAGGGACTGACAGGATTATCCACTGCAGCTGTAGAGGAGGTGGGGCTAGACCCCAGGCCTCCTCCTGTCTTGAGCTCGCCCTCTTAGCCTTCTCTTTCACTCCTGCCCTCCCTCCCCCTCGGCCACACTCCCCTTTTCCAGGTTCACCTTGCCCTCTTTCTGCTCTCCCTACTTTCCTTGGACTTCCCACTGCTCTGCTCAGGTGCCCAGCTGCTCTGACCAACCCTTCGTATCAGTGATTCCCAGCCAGGTGGAGCCCACACCTCGCCCCCACTCACCTTCCTTTCCCAAACCGTACTCTATCTTGTACTTCACCACCTGCCCATTGCTCAGGCTGGGAGGCAGGGGCAGCCACGCCACCCTGATGTCCGAGGGGTTGGGGCTGGACAGGGAGAGCTGGGGCGCTGCACTGGGGACTGAGACAGAAGAACATCAGCATGAGCTCTGCTCCACCGACGTGGAAGGTGAGGCCCAGGAGCGGTCAGAGACTTGCCCAGGTCACACAGCAAGTCAGAAGGAGGCTCAGGACCAGGATCTGAGGGAGGAAAGGGAGCCTCTCAGGGGAGCCCCAAGCTGGAGTTGAGGGGACATCCTTCCCACCCCAAAGCCAGAAAAGGGTTGCGGGCACAAGCTTCTGCATCCACTGGGTTGTCACTGGCTCCTGCCTGACTGGATGACGGTACGTGGGTATAGGGAAGAAGGGCCATGTGATTTAGGTAATCATGAGACCTGGGTTCAAGTCCCAGCTGTACTACTGACCTTGGGCAAGTCACTCATTTTCTGGGCCTCAGTTTCCCCGATTGTAAATCAGGGAGAAGAACCCTTGCCTACCCCCTTACAGGGCACAAAAGATGACACCAAGCATGTAAAAGTGCCTTGGTGTACACTAGTAAAGAGAAGCTGAGCTACCACCCCCAGGGAATTCACTGGGCCCCAAGGTGCCCACTGCAGGTGCAGAGGCCCTACCATCATCCAGCGTGTGGACCAGCGCTGGGGTGGAGGTGCGGCTGGCCCCCAGCTGCGAGTAGGCCACTACGTAGAACTCGTAGTCTGTGTTGGGTTCCAGGTCCCGAACCTGCAGCTCAGTGGTGTCATTGTTCACTGCAAACTGATACTCCACGTTGTCCATACCTGAGTGGGGACATAAGGGACAAAGGGACTGTCACTGGGCCACCCCAGGGACCTGTCAGCTGGAGGCTGTCGAAGGATCCTTCATATTGTCCCAGTCTCCGAAATAGCCTTACTTATAGCTAAATCATCCCAGATAATCTGAGTTGCGGAGTATATACTCTCCTGACTTCTAGTCTCGGTGTATTAACTCCTCCACTGGTTCTTTCTGGCTTCTAACTGAAGTGACTTTTCCTGCGGTTAATGAAATGGTTCCAGGAATGCGAAGGCACCTTCCCTGGGAGGAGAAGCATTCCCTCTCTCCTCTCGCATAACAGACTGTGGCCAAGGGGTAAATGCACTGACCCATATCTGCACAGATCTCTCCTGTGGGTTCCCACCCCACCCCATCCAATCCCCAAAGATACCCACCAGGCAGCCCCTCAGTCATCCAGTCTGTGCTTCCCGCGCCTCCCTCATCACGCGCCCCTGCGTAGGCCTTTGCTGGGGCGTCTTGGTCCCCCGGAAGACGTACCTCGTGCCTTCTGGTAGTGGAGGGAGAAGCCAATGATCTGCTCGCTGTGCAGCTCGGGCCGCTCCCAGGCCACCAGCACGGAGGAGCTGCTCAGCGGCGTGGCGGTGACCCGCGTGGGGGCGCTGGGCAGCCCCTCTCGCACCACGACTGCCAGTGGCGCGGTGGCGCACGCGGTGCCCGCGCTGTTCTCGGCCACGCATTGGTAGTAGCCGGCGTCCTGCAGGCCGATCTGTGTGATGACCAGGCTGCCGCCGCCGCC